ATTACAAGGTTTACAAACCCTATTCGGGGGTTCAGTTGTATGGCGGCTATGTGAGATAATGGACCGATATTAATTATTTCCAATAGGCTTCGTCTCCGGATCATGTGCCAAATTTCATTGAATTATCTTCAAAATTGCGACCTGTTGGTTTATTACAAGGTTTACAAGCCATATTCAGGGGTTCTAGGTGAAATAATAGACCGATCTTAACCATTTTCAATAGGCTTCGTCCCTGGGACAATAGAATCATCATGTACCAAATTTCATTGAATTATCTTCAAAATTGCGACCTATAGTTTGATTACAAGGTTTACATGGACGGACAGACGGACGGACATAGCTAAATCGACTCTGAAAATGATTCTAAGCCGATTGGTATACTTTAAGGTGGGTATAGGACCTATATATTTGTACGTTACAAACATCAGCACAAACCCAATATACCTTCCCCACTAAAGTTGTGTAGGGTATAAATATGTATTCATAGCAAGTGGCAACAAAACGGACTTATTTATAGATGTGGTTTAAACTCAAACGAAATTGATGAACAACGAAAATGAAAGGAAATATAGGAAGCTGTCACAAAATGCTTCCTTTCCGATCGAAAGTAAAATTATTATTTTAAAAAACTATTCACAAACGACGCTCTCTGATAACATAGACATACAACATTAAAGATCTTTTGACAATCGCTGTTGTTATATGGATAATTTCGTTTCAAGTGACCCAACTCAAAAAATTGATTTGGATGAAATTTGCACCAAGGTTAGTACTACAACAAATTTTCAGATCAGATGAAAGCTTATACAATTTAATTTAAAGTCCCTAATGGGATGCGAGTGGGATATCTATCTAAAAATTATTTTTTAACTCAAGAATAAAATTTTTTTCAATATTTGCCACTTAATTTACCCCTATTTTTTCAAAATGTTGTTGTTATGACATAAATTAGGTGACTATTTGGAAACCTAGTTAAATTTTAAAGGATTTTTTTTTAAATCTTATCCATCTGAGTCACCCTAATGTGCCTACGAATACATAAAAACAAAAGAAAATATTTTATTGTAAAAAGTGGAAGGCTAAAGTAAAAATTGTAATAAAACTTACTACAGACAATCAAAGTATAGTTTTGTTTGTTATTGCCATAGTTGAGGTAAAGCAATCATCTCCACTGTACAATATTGCTTGGAGTAAACCACAAACAATGACACCAAAGAAAAAATACACATGAAATAGGTTAATGATCAATTGTGTTCTTCCTCACATTGAGTACTTTATGGGGGGTTAACTGAAATAAAGATCGAATTTATTATCAAAAGAGCAGCATATTCCTTTTCAGACATCCTTTTCAATTAAAGTATAATTTACCTAAAGGTAGAGTATCTGATGGGAATCGAATCTTATCGTTGGTTAGATTCATGTCAAATTTTTAATCCAAGATTTTATTGGAAACTATAAATTCCAAATACTATTCCAAAGAACATCACGAATCACTTTGAAGTACAAGTTTACTAAATGATTTTTTTTTAAATATGTAAATATTTTACATTCCTAAAAATGTAATAAAACGGATTTCATGTCTCTGTCAATTGAATTTGATTTGTGTCACATACTTGTATAAAGAAAAAAACATATCATATAAATTAGGTGTCATGCAAATTTCTCTCCAATGTCGACCTTTAAATTACGTGCAGCATTTGAAAGTAACTGATTAAAAAGAAAATTTCCTTTTCAACTCTTTCTAAAGGGGTCTAGGTCACGTTTACTTACCACAAACTCATTCTTTCACCAGTACAAATACCTGAAAACACGGAATGTTTCGAACTAGAGTAAAATATTAGTATTACAATAAGAAGGATAAAGCAGTGATGTTCTTTTTGCATGTACAACATTTATTTTGTCAGTTGGGTTTTTTTGCACAGTTTGATTTTTTTTGTTCTTGTGACATCTCATCAATATGAGTTTAATTTGTTTTATTTTCTCTTTCTTATTTTCTGAAAAGTAAAATAAAAATAACTACAAAATAAAGAAATAGTTAAAAAAACAAAAGAATTCGATTAATAAAGTTAACCACTGTATACAACTGATACGGGTCGTAATTTTTGATGATGATGAAGATGATGTTGCACAGTTACAACATGCTGTTGCAATTGTAATTTTTTTTATTGTTGTCGTCTACTGATTTTCCTGCATCAGTATGTCCTCCCCATTGTTTTCTTGCATACATTAGAGGGTTCCTTTTTGAGAAATATGTGTACTCACCTTCAATGATTTTGTCATTTCGTTCGTTGTTTGTAGATCCATAAAAATTTATACATTCTGGGTCGTAAAAATAAAATGGTATATTTTTGAATCAAGGTTAGAGTTATTTAATGGTTAGTTTTTATACCAAACACGACTTCCGTGGTATATAGTAAGAATTTTTTACAATAAATCGATGAAATTTGGTTTTACTTTCGATCCATTTCGGAATTTCAATTAAACTGTAATATTATTAAATAAAGGTGATATTGGACAGATGTTCTGCATACAGACCCCGAGAAAAAAGTACGTTAAAAAAATAATTAAAACTTTTTAAAAAATTTAATATGGATTTTTATAAAAATAGCAAACGATTTGAAGGTTTATCGTCACTCAATTTCAAAAGCTATTTAACAGTATAAAGAAGTCTTGATCATTGAATGAAAACTATCAGGATCTAGTTTGCAAAAATCGAACAACTGTTTCGGAAGCACCAAAGACATCCACTAAAAAAAGAAGCTCTGCCTGATTTTTTGTGTGCAGAGCCAAAGCTTAAGCTGAGTTTAAGTCGTATAAAGCTCAGAAAGGTCCAGATCAATTCAGTAAATAACTTAGAAGAAAAAAACGATCGAAAAAATTGAGGTCAAATTTTATAAAAATATATTACTATAGGCTGTCTTCCAACAATACAGAGGCATCATGGCACAATGGAAAATGATCTTAAATGGTATTCAAAGAAATATAATATAGTATGAAGAAAGGCCACAAAACATCGGTGGAAATGCACTGAACTCTTTGCAAAAAGAAAAATAATAAAAAAACACATGAAAGGCACATGTCCGACTTTAAGCGTCAGTGGACAACTCGTCCAAAAGTGCAAGGGAATTCGGATCTTCTACAACATTTTTTGTCTTGGATGTCCGATCGAATAAGCGTGGATTTTACGAAATCTAGATATTTTGAATATTTTATAGATCACCAATTTTAAAAGCGATTTAAGTAAAATGTAATGACATAAAAAATCAGGTTGTCGTTAATAAATCACTTGAATATATTGCCATTGCTATAAAATCATATACATATTGGCAAGTGTCAAGTGACCCAACTTTTAAAATCTATGTCTTCCGATTTGGGTGAAAATTTACCTAAGGTTAGTACTATTGAATAGTAGGCCAAACACAGATTTTCAGGTCTATCGGTCAAGAACTGCCGGACTTAAAGGTCAAAGTACTAAGTAACCACAAAGCTCTTCAAGGAAATGATCTAAGCTTTCTTTTGAGCAAAAAAAGAACAACAAAAACGTCCATTTTGAAAAAATTGGGGAAAATGAAGTGCCAAATATTGAAAAAATCTTATACTTCAGTTAAAAAACATTTTTATAGTCCCATTATGGGGCTATAAAGTACTCGAAGGAAATTGAATAGGCTTTCTTTTTATAAAAAAAAGAGTTTTTTGTAAAATATATATATTTTTTTTTTTGGAAAAATTAAGAAATATTTGAACTCTTTTGGACAATTTTTGCTAGAACCAATAGGTAAAATGTGACACTCATTTGAATAACACCCTCTATGACCAAAATGTCCAACTTTGACCTCCTCTAAGTCCGGCAGTTCTTGACCGATAGAGCTGTGTCTGGCCTATAAAAAAAATTCGTGTGCTTATGATAGCGCACACTATATTTTTTTAACAAATTGTCGCATTATTGTTGACTTGTACAGGCCTTTACTGGCCCACTATCCAATAGTACTAACTTTGGTGCAAATTTCATCCAAATCCATTTTTTGTGTTTGGTCACTTGACACGAAATTTCCCATATATAAATGATTTATTATAAGAAAAATTACCGTAGAGTTTGGTCCATAATTGACTGAAGCGACAATAAAAAACTAGTCTAAACCTCATAGAATATGCGTCCAAACATCTGAGCAGATTCAATACATTTTCCTAAATTTTTAGTGTTGTAAACGAATTTCTTGCAGGAAAAAAGTTACGACCCTAATAAATACATATGTACATATGTATGTTTTTAAAATATTGTCAACAAAAAGTTATTGTATGTCCGTATATAGTTTAGTTCTTCCTTTTCGTTTTGTTTTTATTGTTATTTTTTTTTATTAAATCTGTAAAAGAGTGCATGGATGGGCATGTAATTGCGTGACACTCAACTTACCAACTTCATCTTGCATTGTGGTGTAGTTTATGTTTATACATATTTGTTTTTTGTCTTTTTATATGTATGTATGTATATCAGATTCGGGTTGCTATTACTGCTGCTATAGAATGAACCTTTCAATTTTTGTATTTTATTGTTTATTTTTTTTATCCCTTTTTTTGTTTGTGAAAATGTTGCTGTCGTTGTTATTACCAATGTCTTCTTGTTTTATGATTTTTTTGTTTCTCTGTGTAACGGAAGCGGAAGCATGCAATTTGTGTTGCAACAGCAACAGAAAATAGCAAGACAATGCCAATGGCGGAAGTTTATTTAATCGATGACATAAATTTATACAATCAACGGATAACTTAACTTAAGTCATTTCTCTTTATTTTTTACTTTTACCCCATATACAATCAACCCAAGATAATTGCAATTCCGTTTAATATTTATTATCCTCCAAAAACATGAAAAGAATCATCGAAAACAGAAAGTCTCGTTTTTCAATACGAATGCATTGAAAAATATGAGAAATGTATCATTTAGTTAATTTTTAATGTACGTTTTTTTTCTTTGTATATTTTAATGATTGCATTTTCTTTTACAGATTCCAGTAATGGGTTCCACTACATTACAAAAGTGTTCGAATCAACCGTTTAATTCTTCATCGGCGCTGTTGGTTAAGATTTTGTCAAATCTTGGTTTAATTGTTGTAGCAATTGTTATTTTAGCAGCTACAGTTTGGTGTAAGTATACATATTTTTAAATTAAAACGTTTGATCGTTAAAATCTCTGAAATAAATATCTGTGATGTATTAGAAGATATGTAATTAGCAGGAAATCGGAAATTTGTACGAAACTATCCATGGAAGAAATATTTAGTAGTCATATTTGTTGTTTTTAGTTTAAAACATAGAATTTTTACCAACTCATTAGTTGTCGAGTGTAATCTGAAAATGAAATCATCGAATACTCCACTCTCCATTAAATTTTACTAATTTTACACCTTACGACCCACCACATGTAAATCTATAGTAAACCTTTTTTAATATAACTTTTCGTTTACTTCAACTTTATTAAGATTGTTAACTATTAGTTTGGTCTGCTGTACATACATATAAGTGTAGTTGGTTGTTCTCATCTATTCTACACTTTATCTAGATGATGGGGTTGAAACTTATTAGCACTACTATTTTTTTCCTTTGTGGTTGCTGGTAGCAGTAGTAACGTTTATTTGCAAAACTGTTAACCTGTGTCAACTTACGGTTCGTTGAATGTTTTTATTTTGGCACTTGGAATTTTCAATATTGAGAGGTACAATGCAAATCATGAGTATTAAGTGGGAGATATCTACATAAATAATGGTTATAGATATAGTAGCAAGGGTTTGTTTTAAATAAAAAAACAACAATAATTTCTCGGAAAAATAATAGTAAATGTATACTGATAAAAGGAACGATTACATCAATAGCACATAAATCATATACTAAATATTCTCACTTTATTTAAGCTTTTATTTAGAATTGAATGTTACATTATTAGTCAATTCCTGTAGTTCTGTGCATTAATTCGAACTAGTGATTTTACCAAACAGACGCCACTAGTAACTGAATTGGTTACGTTATGTTCCTATTTCGTCTCAAGTGTCCCAACTTAAAAAATCGATTTAGATGAAATTTGCACCAAGGTTTGTAGTATTGGATAGTAGGCCAGACATAAATTTTCAGCTCGATTTGTCAAGAACTGCCGTACTTAGAGGCGGTCAATGTTAGACATTTTGGTCATACAAGGTTTTTCTAATGTGTGTAACTTTTTAGCTATTGGTTCTAGAAAAAATTGTCCAAAGGACTTTAGATAGCTATTTCTTCAATCTTTCCAAAAAAAAATTTAATAAAATTTTTTTAATTATTTTTCTAAGTTGTGCTGATTTTTGTAGAGATACTACAATATTGAATATAAATATGAGCTCAAAAGCCATATTCGGGTGCTTAGGTTTATAGGTGGACCGATTTAAACCATAATCAATAATCTTTGTCCTTGAGTCAATAGAAGTATGTGCAAAATTTCATCAAATTATCTTGAAAATTGCGACCAATAGCGCGTGCGCAAGGTTTACCTGGACAGACATAACTTAATCGACTCAGAAAGTATAGATGGGTGTAGGACCAATATTTTTGGATGTTACAAACATCAGCACAAACGCATAATACCCTCCTTAATATAGATACAAACTATTAGAAATAAAACAAATATTTTACATTAACACGAGATAATTACGATAATTTCGGCGTCACGACTTGAATTAAAATTTGTACAATGATTGTAAAATAGGAAAAAACAGTTCGGAGCATGCTTTACGTTTATGTTTTATTAACATACATAGTAGTGTGTTACATTTTATTAATTTAAATTTTATTTTCCTTTCAGTATATTTATATTTGAATCCTTCAAGTGGCAGTACTCAAATAAATCCAGACGGTAAGTTTAATTAGCAATTTCCATATTTTCAGCTTTATTTAAGCGTCATATTCCTCAAAAAAAAAAAGTTGAATTTTTTCCCGAAAAATCAGCGTTATATTAGGAAGAAATTAAAAGGAAAAAAATAAAAAAAATGTTGATAGAAACTGAAAACTATTTTGTGAACAGATTTTGAAAGTTGCTTTTGTTTTAGTTATATACATGTAGTTGTTTTTTTTTATTTAAGTATTATATATCAGTTTCGCGTTCAGTCCAGAGCATAAAACTTGCTCTTTGCAGCAATATTCACACCAAACCATAACTACCCACCAACCGACCGACCGACTGACTCTTCGACCACAAGCAAAGTGCCAACGTCTTTCTGAGAGTGGTAAAAGCAAAGTATGAGTATAAGTAGTTAAAAATATGTGGCAGCAACAGCAGCAAGTCATCAAGTTAATACTCGCACACAAGTATATTTTCGGGTCATACCAAAAATTTTATTTATGACTTAAGTTCAACGTTTTTTTTTTTTTTTTTGTTTTCTCTCTCTCTCCAGAAACGTTTCAACGCGATACTAAAATATAAACTTATTTTCAAACTAATTTATTTTTTCTATGAATATAGTATGTAAGTAAGTACATACATATTTCGAGGTATGCGTGTGTTTCACATTGGTTGGTGGTCGGACGTATCCGCATTTTCGTATTGGTGAAAATGAGTCAGCGCGACAAAAACTTTAGAAAATGATAAGCCAAAAACAGAAACAACCACAAAAAATAAAATATACGAAAAAAAAACAGTCAAGAAAAAGTTGTTACCTTTTAATATTTTATAGTGACTCTACAGGGAAGTTGCTTTTAAAGCAACATCACACCAACCATCACACCAGGATAAAAGCAAATTTTATTTATCAGTTCGTTTGTAACACATTTAGTTACCTATACATACAAACATATCTCATTTATATTTATAGTCAATAAGGGTCGCAAATACACACATGTGAGATTAAAACTAGAACTTGTTGTTCAATAACTATCTGTTAAAATTACAAAAAAAAGTAAAATTTTTAAAATGATTTATATACACAATAACATTGTGAAACATAAAGGTAAACTAAATTCGTTCTTGTTCAAATAAAGCACTAGTTATTGCTATTTCTGCATCTTTTTTAATAATAAAAACTATAAGAAAATTTTCCTGCAAGTTTATACGTTTTTCTAAATCTTGCTTTGATTAGAAAAACTAAAAGTTTGTCGAAAGTTTCGTTTTGATAACACCACCAAGTATAAAACTCTTTGAAATTATCAAAGGTAATTTACTTTTTGTCCAGTTTGTCTCCAAAACTTTAAAATTAATACAACAAAAGATTACAAATAAGATCATGTGGGTTTTTTTGAAGATTGTGCCATCATCCAAGCAACGTGCATGGGAAAAACATTAAGGCTAATGAACAAAAATTAAATAAATGTATAAAATGTTAGGTGAATTAAGAAACTGGAATATAGATAATAATTCACTTCCATGTGACAAATACCGCCTACTGACCAAATATTTATAAGTTATCACAATGATATATTTCACTTATTCGGATCTTGGGTCTTAGGAGTTTAGTGGAGGATATTATCAATTATAAACCGGGTTCTACAGAACTTGAAATATATAGTTTTATCTTAATTCCATAATTTTTTAACGATTTATTGAAAATTTTCTGCGATTAATTTAACGATTTATTAACAATTTTCTGCAAAAGGGGTTTTATGACTAGACTATACCCAGCAAAAAAGAACTTCCAAAAAAAGAAGTAGAATTTACTCCATGGAAGTACTGAAAAAGACCTGCAGAAGTGATGATTTTAACACAAGCTTGTCATAGGAGGGATGTCCTTTTTATTCGATTCCAAATTCACTACTTCTGAAGTCATTCTCAAGAAGTAATTTTTATGCCCTTTTTTTGGAAGTTATTCAGAACTGAAATTGTATTATTATGGAATACAACTAATTTTATTTAAATAATATTAAAATTAATAAGGGTAATAGATAGTACATTTAAAACAAAATAAATAAATTTCTAATCTCACAAAAATGTAAGAACAAAAAAATATCTTCAGCGTTAAAAAAATAGAATTATTTTCGCTTCTTCGGAAGTCGTTAAACATTACTTCCACGGAAGTTAAAAAAAATTAACTAATTGCTATTTTTGAAGTAGTGATAAATGTTATTCTTTTGGAAGTACTTCGCTTTATTTTTGCTGGGTAGTCACTATACAGAGGGAAAAAAGCGGTAGAAATGTACCGAAATTGATGCAATCCGTTGTCAAAAGTGAGCTATCCACGTTTGTTAACATTTAGACGACGGATGTTTATAAAATTTAAACAACACCCAGATATCATTTTGACAACCGCGGTTGTAATTTTGACAACGCATCGTTGTCATTGCAATAACGCATTGTTGTCATTTTAATTTCGTTTTGTATCATTTCGGCAATGCATCGCTATGATTTCGACAACGCAACGTTCTGTTTGACAATATGTCGTTGTCATTTTGGTAACACATTTTTTTTTTTGTTGATTTGATAACGTCATGTATTTTTATGTTTTTGTTGTTTGTTTAACAACTATCCGTATATACTTTGACAACGGATGTTATTGAAAAATTATAAATACTTTGTTGTCAATTTGGTATCAGGCGTGTTTAATTAGAAAACGTCTTGTTTCCCTCTGTGCAGAGACACTATATTTGATTTACGATCAATTATGAACCGAACCTCGCAAAACAGAGATTTTGGTTCCCATTAAACTAGTTTATGGCGAAAATCATAGCTATACTTGTATTTTAAGCCATTTGTGAGACTAAGGTTTATATCTAATTTCATACCTATATTGTTATCTTATTTATGACCTTAACGGTAATTTTTCGGAGGAAACCTTATATGCGGTATTTTGGACCGATCATCATAAATCTTTTGCTTTTGCCGAATTGTATAACAATTATGAGCCATAACAGGGTTGGCAAAATTGGTACAATTGTTCTTTTTTGGTACAATTCAATCTTCAAAAGTACAATGATACACCAATGATTCATTTTGTACAATTTTAAATTGTTTGAGTTTTTTAGCATAAATAACTCTTCTGGGCCAGATGACATTTCGACACTGATCTGAAGCAGTGTTCTTCGATGCTACTTCGTAAACTAGCTAATCTTTTCAGGACTTTTTACCAGGCCACCGAATTTCCAGTATGCTGGAAGATTGCTAATGAAATGCCGATCCCTAAAGAGGGAGAGGCAAACAACGCTGAAAATTACTGCCCAATAGCAATTTCGACATGTCCCATTTTTTAAAACATACAGACGACCAATTTTTTTTGCCAAAACAAAAAATGTTATATTTAGCTTAAAATTTAATTGTAATGATTACGTTTATTATGAAAGTACTTTATTTTATCATTCATTTCCAAAATCAATTTTATAATTTGTTTTTTTCGTTTAAGTTGAAAAAATATTTTTGTTTTTTATAAAAAGAGCAACTTTAGTGGCTTGGTATTAAAAAGTAATTTACAGAATGCAGTTTCTGTAGCTTCGAAGTATGGCCTACAATACTGCATTGAAAAATTTGTTAATATGCGACATAAAAATAATGGCCAAAAATAAGTAGGAAAGTATAGTCGGGCATGGCCTTGTATGTCCAAACTCGTATGGTCCAAATTTTATCAAAATATCTTGAAAATTGCGGCCTGTAGCTTGCGCAGAAAGTTTACATGGACAGCCAGCCGCACAGACGGACGGACATGTCTCAATCGACTCTGAGTCGATACTTTAAGGTGGATGTAGGGCCAATATTTTTGTGCGTTGCAAACATCAGCACAAACGTATAATACCCTCTCCACTATAGTGGTGTAGGGTATAAAAAGTGGTAAAGTATGGATCAGACATACTTTACAATAATTATTTGTCTCCATCTGATCTTTTTACTATCTCGCTAAAACGTTGCATGTATCCTGTACTAAGCATATGTATGTATGTATGTATGTATGTATGTATGTATGTATGTATGTATGTATGTATGTATGTATGTATGTATGTATGTATGTATGTATGTATGTATGTATGTATGTATGTATGTATGTATGTATGTATGTATGTATGTATGTATGTATGTATGTATGTATGTATGTATGTATGTATGTATGTATGTATGTATGTATGTATGTATGTATGTATGTGTGTCCAGTTCAGACTTTCAAATACTCTGAAAAGTGACGGATAAATTATGTATAATTTTGTTTTAAGTGATTCGAGATGAGGGTCAAAATTTTTATTTGAATATGACGAGTCTTGAGTGGAATAATGCCAATAGTTTGTATCATCATTTTACCATAATTACTAACTAAATAAATATAAAATAAAAAATAAGTTCTCAAGAATATGTACCTGAAAAGAAGTTATTTTGAAAATGCAACAATCTGGGTCTAGGATTTGCTGTCATCGTATGTGTGCTCAAGAAACCCAAAGCATGAAGAATATTAATGTTTTCACAATGTTTCAATTAACAAAGTTTTTGTTTCCTGTGTTGGCATTTCTTAAATTGAAATGAATGAACACTCGTTCTATAGTTTATTTTTACAATTTATTCATATACATAAATACATTAATAACAATTTTTAAATTAATCGTTTATAAGTTTTATTCAACTTTTGTATAGTGATGTTTTTATTGACTCACTATTTATTTTTCGTCCATTCAAAGAGAAGAGAAGAAATACGTCTAGCATGAAATTATAAAAACATTTTGGATGTTTTAATAACAGCTTTGTAAATAAAACGAATGAGAAGTTAAAATGGGTTAAACATAATTTGTTATACTTATACACAGTCCAAAGCGTATAATAAATATTTCAATACAGCTTGAGGGCAAAGAAATTCTTTAGATTTTCTAACAGAATTCATCCAAACAAATATTAGTTGAAACAATAATAATTGTACGAGTTTCAAAATTGAGTTGAAAATTTACATTAATCTCTTG